ATGTTGTAAAAAAAAAAAAAAAAAAAAACGAAACAATTCTGCTGCTTCACATTTTTATGGAAATCGTGATGCATTTTATTTCTCTGGATTCTTTAAAGAATAGAAAGTTCAAAAGTACAGCGTTTATTTGAAATAGAAAATCTTTTGTAATGTTACAAATGTTTTTACTGTCACTTTTGACCAATATAATGCGTTCTTGCTGAATAAAAAAAGATTAGATTCTTTGCAAAAAAAAACAGTAGTGTATTTGTGCTGACTGAGTTATTGAGACTCTATGAAACTGGTCAGCAGAGCAGAGAAACTTTCTGATCCAGAAAAATCCACTTAAAGGTGAAGTGTAGTTTCAGCAAAAATTAAGTTGTTATTTGTTTTCTAACAGGTTTCTCAAACACTCCAGATCTGCTATTGGTCAGACAAACATGCAGCCCCTCCCCCGACTCATGCCATTGGTTGAGCCAGTGCCATGTGACACGGGTCATCTAAATATGTCAGGGGTGTTTTAGCACAAACATTGAACAAAAGCACTGAAAACACTTTAAACAAATTATGCAGAAACCCATGTATTGTATCAATTAATTAAATAATTTCATTATTTATTTATGAATTATAAATATTAATACAAACATATGATATAAATAAAATAATAAAATAATTTAAATATCGTTTATTTTTTAAGGAATCGGTTCCAAATATGTAGTTTGTTATTATCAATATATCGATACCACAGTATCCATGTGCCCATCCCACAGTGTTTACACTTTCATCTTTGATGGTTTACTTCCAGTTGTCTTTGCACATTAAACTGGGACAAGAGAAATATTTTAACCTTTAATCACTGCGATTTTCCTTTATTGCTGTAGCACATTAATCGCATGAATGCCTGTTTGAATTAGCAGTGAAATTGTTGCACACAGGCTGTAGGAGAGGTGTTTTGAGGACAGTATGTGATCTTCTCTCTACATGTGACCTCCTGTAGGTCTCACATGGCCTATATTGTTGAGGGACCTTGGTCTATTAAAGGTTTGACACTGAACGTGTCCTGAGTGTGTGTGTGTGTGTGTGTGTGTGTAGCATCAGGCAGGCTGGATGGTCGTTCTGCAGGGAATGTGTGTGAGACTGATTACCTGTGCTCTCTGGCTGTAGGTCATTTCTCAGCCCATCTCCCTCTCTGCCCACTGTCCATTACTCCGAGAGAGAGAGAGAGAGAGAGAGAGAGACATTTGCTTGTCAGTTTGCCTGATGCTCTGCGGAGGTTATATATGACAGTCTCTCTGTCTGTCTCTCTCTCTGCGCTGGTAATGAGGTATGACCATGGGGTCAGTGCTCTCATCCGCCCTTGTGTGTTTTGTCGTGTCCTGTGAGAGCAACATGCACAACATACAGACAAGTGCACACTATAAATCACATACGGGGCCTCCACACACACACACACTCAGCCAAAAACAAGAAGCACAATGCAGGTTCCCGTACTGTCCTCACTTTAATAACCTCACAAACACTAACGGCATACTTACATGATCTCTGTAGTGCATTTAAATTCACATCAAGCAGATTAAGATATGATATGATAGATTTAATAAGATAAGGGCATATTCTTTTCCCGGAAGCATCAACCAACTATTAGAGGTTAAAGTTATTACAGAAGTTTAATTTAGCCCAAAACCGAAACCCTAGCTGAAAATAAAACGTATTTAATAGTCAACAAATTAATCAAGTTTATTTAATAATCAGCACACTGAGTATTATACAGACATTTAAAAATGAAAAACACTAGTTTTTATATCAACTTGATATGATATAACTGTTATAAATGTTGTAATTGTTTATATAATTATAATATAATATAATATACTCCAATTCGTTATTGAAACATTTAAGCGGTATCTGTAATAAAAGCTTGTTTTTATGACTTATTTATTCAAACTTACATTAAATATTGAAGACATCACTAGGTTAAAGAAAAAATATAAATAATATGTAATATAGTGCATATATTCAGCAAAATGCTCCTCGCTTAAGGAGAGATACAGTAACTAACGAGCTATGGACATTGAATGGCTTTCAGTGAGGTTAATTAAATGGCTCTACGGCTCTGCAGTTGGTTATTATTGGTTTTATTGACGTCCTTTCGAGTGATTACATGATACATGATTCATTTCAGTAAGCCATAAGGTTTCTTTAAACACTTTCTGATGTTCATTCATGTTTATTTCTTGCTATAACTTGTAGTAAAGATGAAGAGATGAACAGTTCACGTGCTGCTTGAACTGAAGCGGCTACAGCGATCTGTCACGCCTCATTAAAGACCATCAAAATGACATTTATTGTTTGAATATCAAGATACAATTGACAGAATTTGAATAATGAGACTTGTTTATTCAATAGGAGACAGGTACACTCAAAGTAATGTTTAGTGAAGTTTTGTCACTTTCAAGTCAATTGAAAACACCATAAACTAAATAATATTTCTTGCAATTTAAGAATCAGTATCGGTTCATCAAAATGAAGATTGATTAAAAGTGAGAAATTATTATTGTCAACCCAGTCCTAGTGTCCACACAGCTGACGTGTTTACTTATTGTTGTTTATCCACAATATAGACGCTTACACAGTCAAAATGCCATTGGAGAATGTTTTGGTCAATGATTTCAGCCCTCCAAAACCATTTCAGCTGAAAACAAATATTCATTTTATTTAGCTGATTCGGCCGAATATTTTTGGTTGACAAAATTTCAGTGCATCACTGCCACCTATGGTCACAAGTTCCATTGTTACCAACATTTTTCAACGATTTTGTGTTTCCCAAAACATTTACAAACAGGATCACAAAGTTTGGAACTGCAGCTCTTAATTGTAAAATTTGTAATGTAATGTAAAAGCAAAAGTTGGCATGACTTTCTGATCATATAATTTTTTACAGTGCAGTCTATGTTAGTATGACGTGTGGAATTACAGATCAAGCTTGTGAGCAAAATATATATACTGTATATTCTGTGATTGATTTGCATGATTGAATAGCGATTAAAATTCAAATGCAATGTTTATTATTCACAGCAATACATTATTTCATCTTCAGCTGACGACATTAACAACAGTTGTTCTAGAGGAGACACACCCCTGATCAGCTGACAAGTTTCTAAAAGCTTCTAAAACCATCAAACCAGACCAGCCTGACCAATGAAAATCAACTTGGTGGCTTTCTAAGGCTGGATGAAAATGCTTTTTCAAAAGAGGAAAAAAATCCCTTTAACTGGTAAAATCAATATGACACACAGCTTTGAGTGGATCTTTGCGGTTATAAAATGGCTGTGTCATGAGCAGTTTGATTTGGAGTCATTCCAGAAAGACTCCAAAGCTATTCTATTGGCTGAAAAAATACGATCTTTAGTGTCTTTTTAAATTATGTGATATATCTAATACAACATATAACACTATAGATTGTTAAAATAAACTTTTTATGTTTTTTTTTTTTTTAGTTAGCTAGGTTTCGACATATTAAATTAGCATACCACTACTGCTAACCAAATAGGACTGTTAAATAGACTGTTAACCAAATAGCCTTTACTCTATGCAAATGTTCAATTATATATTTTTATACTGTACATATTGCAAGTTTTTGCTTCATACTCTTGGAACGCTGCTCTGCAAATCAGATCAGAGGAGCAGAACTGCTGAATAATAATGATGTGAACACATTTACCTGCAGAAAAGGAGGTTGGTTTGAGGTAGCTGATCATGTTTTACCACACGGCTTTTCTGTTGTTTTCGCTGCTCTTGTGGAAGACAACAGCCGGTATTTTATGAGTGTTTGAGGTTTTCTGAGAGCCAGGAGAGCTCAGATGCCTGCTGATGTGAGGATACTAGCCGTTGTAGTAGGTATGATGGCCTCAGGGTGTGACTGTAGTTTTAACCTCCGGCTGAAGAGACTTCTCGCTCACACCAACATCCTCCTGTGTGTGTGTGTGTGTGTGTAAGTGCTGGGTGCTTGAAATAGTGAGGTATTTTGAGCCACCACACACAGACGTGTCAAGGAATTTGGCTACAGTTGTCGTATTCCTCTTGTTAAGCCACTCCTGAACCACAGACAACGTCAGAGGCGTCTTACCTGGGCTAAGGAGAAGAAGAACTGGACTGTTGCCCAGTGGTCCAAAGTCCTCTTTTCAGATGAGAGCAAGTTTTGTATTTCATTTGGAAACCAAGGTCTTAGAGTCTGGAGGAAGGGTGGAGAAGCTCATAGCCCAAGTTGCTTGAAGTCCAGTGTTAAGTTTCCACAGTCTGTGATGATTTGGGGTGCAATGTCATCTGCTGGTGTTGGTCCATTGTGTTTTTTGAAAACCAACGTCACTGCACCCGTTTACCAAGAAATTTTGGAGCACTTCATGCTTCCTTCTGCTGACCAGCTTTTTGAAGATGCTGATTTCATTTTCCAGCAGGATTTGGCACCTGCTCACACTGCCAAAAGCACCAAAAGTTGGTTAAATGACCATGGTGTTGGTGTGCTTGACTGGCCAGCAAACTCACCAGACCTGAACCCCGTAGAGAATCTATGGGGTATTGTCAAGAGGAAAATGAGGAACAAGAGACCAAAAAATGCAGATGAGCTGAAGGCCACTGTCAAAGAAACCTGGGCTTCCATACCACCTCAGTAGTGCCACAAACTGATCACCTCCATGCCACGCTGAATTGAGGCAGTAATTAAAGCAAATGGAGCCCCTACCAAGTATTGAGTACATGTACAGTAAATTAACATACTTTCCAGAAGGCCAACAATTCATTAAAAATGTTTTTTTTTATTGGTCTTATGGAGTATTCTAATTTGTTGAGATAGTGAGTTGGTGGGTTTTTGTTAAATGTGAGCCAAAATCATCACAATTAAAAGAACCAAAGACTTAAACTACTTCAGTCTGTGTGCATTGAATTTATTTAATACACGAGTTTCACAATTTGAGTTGAATTACTGAAATAAATGAACTTTTCCACGACATTCTAATTTATTGAGATGCACCTGTATATATATGCATCCGTTTTTACTTGCATGTATTGATGTATTGTATACTTAACAAATGGATTTCTTCTTCTCTCTTTTTTGCAGCCTCTCAGTAAGTACCCACCGCTCTTCAATGACATCTCTTTTTGGCTGCCGGCCGAAGGTTACACAGAAAACGACTTCTATGACCTGGTGCGCAACATCGGAGGAGACCTAGTGGAGAAGGTCACGCTGGTGGACGAGTTCACACATCCAAAGTAAGAAATCCAAAATGTCAGATACAGAACCAGAACCCATAACCAAACAAGCATTCCAGTAGCACCAGACCAAAAATATGAAAAATATATCAAAAGTTTTTATTTACTCTGAAATGTCCTATTAAAAAATCAGTATGTTTAGCTTATTTTTTTCTCCTAATAAGGATCTTTTTAAAAACTTTAACATAAGAAAAAATTACTTGAGAAGCAAAATGTAGGTATTATAATTTGTTTTCAGAGAGAGTATATTAAATCTTATTCATATTTTTTATGCAAAATCTTGTTTTGAGTGATATGTTTTATTTATTTATTTATTATGATTTATTTTTAGGTGACCACAATGTTATTGTGGATGTACAGTCATTCCAAAAGAATGAGGATACAAATACAGACAATTATTTATAAAATATGTTTTCAGTGCCAAAAGTCCTGTGCCTAATTAGTATTTTTTGCCTTTTTTTTTTTTTTTTTTTTTTAAATTAGTATGTTTACCTTTTTTCAGTGAAGATATTTTTAAAAAAAAGTTTTTTTTTTTTTTTTTACATAATACAGTTTCTTAGATTCTTGATTCAGGAAAGTCTGTTTTGTTTTGTTTTGTTTTGCATAAATGTCACAATTATGACTTAAAAAGCCAAAATACAGTACAGTTAGATTTAATGACATTATTTAATGTGTCCAAAAGTCTATTCCTCATCACGGAATGGATGCTATTTTTTTTTTTTACTTTAATACAGAACATGAAGATTTTAGGAAGTTGCTGTGTTCTGTCATTCATTTTGTTCATTTGTATTTGTCAATTTTTGCCATCATTCTGAAAGCTAATGGCTTTTGCAGGAGAGAAAGCTAATGTTATTGCGCGCGGCCGTTGGCAGTGCGGCGTTCATCTCTTGACGGAGGAGCAGGGGTCAACGATGCCTAATGGCTCGGTTTTGAACTCTCCAGCATTAGGCTCAAATTTCACGGTGGGCCGTGTTTGTCAGGCTCTTCAAACTCATTATCTGTTTCTTCCGTCGTCCATTCACAAACACTTTCACAAACCACAGAACGATCCACGTGATTTTCCCTGAATGCAGTTGATATGGCGCAGCTCTTCCTGAGCAGGTCTGCTTTTGTGGACTGCAGAGGCTGTGCTCGGGTTGCCCTTTTCCTGTTTCCTCGCCCTGTGACATCAATAATTAATTTTTAAAGAGGATGAGAAGTTCACCTGCGGGCACAGCGGTCCAACTGTCCCAAGTCCCCTCTACTAGAACAGACTGTGTGTGTGTGTGTGTGTGTGTGTGTGTGTG